CCAAGGCCAGAACCCGTGGGAAACCGGAACCGTGGCGTCTGGCCCCCAACTGCAGTAACAATCTCCCACGTCGTCCCCTAGGGAAAACCGCGCTGCACTGGGCTGCTGCCGTGAACAACGCCCGAGCCGCCCGCTCGCTTCTCCAGGCCGGAGCCGATAAAGACGCCCAGGACGGCAGGGTTAGATGGGACAGCGGGCTTCCCACAAAACGGTCGGGAGCAGGAGAGATGCAAAGGGCAGTAACCACACAAAGCCTGAAGGGAAAGGGGCCAGTGGTCCCGCAGGTGAAGGCAGAAGGGCCCAGTCCTGTGGGCCCGGCCTTTCCTGATCTCGCCCCTGGCTCTTTCCTCCTGTGCAGGAGCAGACGCCGCTGTTCCTGGCGGCACGCGAAGGAGCGGTGGAAGTAGCCCAGCTCCTGCTGGGGCTGGGGGCAGCCCGAGAGCTGCGAGACCACGCTGGGCTCGCGCCCGCGGACGTCGCTCGCCAACGTAACCACTGGGATCTGCTGACGCTGCTGGAAGGGGCGGGGCCGCTAGAAGCGCGTCACAAAGCCACGCCGGCCCGCGAGGCCGGGCCCTCCCCGCGCGCACGAACGGCGTCAGGAAGCGTGCCCCCGCATGGGGGCGGGGCTCTGCCGCGCTGCCGGACGCTGTCTGCGGGAGCGGGCCAGCGTCGGGGCGGAGCTTGTCTGCAGGCTCGGACTTGGTCCGTGGACTTGGCTGCACGGGGGGGCGGGGCCTATTCTCATTGCCGGAGCCTCTCGGGAGGAGGAGCAGGAGGAGGCCCGCCCCCTCGTGGCCGTAGGTTTTCCGCAGGCATGCGCGGGCCTCGGCCCAACCCAGCGATAATGCGAGGAAGATTCGGAGTGGCTGCCGGGCGCGGAGGCAGGGTCTCAGCGGATGACTGGCCCTGTGATTGGGTGGCCCTGAGACCTTGCGGTTCCGCCTCCAACATTCCGATCCCGCCTCCTTGCCTCACTCCGTCCCCGGAGCGGGGATCCCCTCAGGTTGACTGCGGTCCCCCAGCCCACCAGGAAATGCCCATAAACCCAGGAGGAGAGTGTAAAAAATAGAAGGGTACATGGTAGGGAAGAATTCCAAACATGGTTACCCATTAAAAGGCAGGCTGGAAGGCCCTCCTGGTTTTAAGATGGAACCCCAAAAAATGAAGGGTTGTGAGTTTAGTTTCTCTCCTAAAATGAATGTATGTCCCCACCAGAGCAGGCATCTTCCACGTGGAGAAGCTCCAGGTCTGGAAAGAGGCTTTAATAGGTTAGGATGAGGCAGGCCCAGTCCTCTAGAAAATAAGAGAGGCCACAGGAGGGCAGAGTCGAGGGGAAATACCCCTAAACTGGAACCAAAAACTGGAGGCAGATAAGACGTAAGATGTTCTTTCCTGCATATGGTTTCCAAAGGGAGCCTCCATCATCCATTGTCCCCACTGCCCACAAATGGCTTATATTTATTGGGCACCTACTATGTGCCAGGCACTGTAGATGCTGAAAAGTGGCCAAGGGCCAGCCCAGCTTATGACTCCTTGCCTTCCCTCCCCTCACAACAAAGAAGCTCCACTGCAGGGATGAAGCGCTTCTAGCCACTGCAATCGCTATTTAAGAACCCTAAATCTGTCACCCGTAATAAAGCCAATTTGAAGTGTTACTTTTTTTTGGAGGAGCTGGGGAAAAGAATGGGAAAAAAGATGGGAGTGACTGCATAGTGTCAGCATTTTGTGCTTTAGGCTCAACATTTGGATTGGATGAAGGCTTTAATTATAGTTTAAAAGCAAGAATATGGCCGGGCGCGGTGGCTCAAGCCTGTAATCCCAGCACTTTGGGAGGCCGAGGCGGGTGGATCACGAGGTCAAGAGATCGAGACCATCCTGGTCAACATGGTGAAACCCCGTCTCTACTAAAAATACAAAAAAATTAGCTGGGCATGGTGGCACGTGCCTGTAATCCCAGCTACTCAGGAGGCTGAGGCAGGAGAATTGCCTGAACCCAGGAGGCGGAGGTTGCGGTGAGCCGAGAGCGCGCCATTGCACTCTAGCCTGGGCAACAAGAGCGAAACTCCGTCTCAAAAAATAAAAAAATAAAAAATAAAAGCAAGAATATTTAGGGGCCCTATGAAAATTTAAGGTATTACCTGAAAGCAACAGTCTAGTAGCTAAGGGAGAACCTACACACATCTTCGAGCCGCAGACTGGTACTGGTCCATGGCCTCTTGGGAACTGGGCCACACAGCAGGTGAGCGAGCATTACCGCCTGAGCGCCACCTCCTGTCAGATCAGCAGAAGCAGTAGATTCTTATAGGAGCTCGAACCCTATTGTGAACTGCACATAGAGGGATCTACCTTTCTCACTTCTTATGAGAATCTAATGCCTAATGATCTGAGGTGGAACAGTTCCATCTGAAACCAGCCCCCCATCCCCACAGACCATGGAATAATTGTCTACCACAAAACTCTTCCCTGGTTCCAAAAAAGTAGCAGACTGCTGCGCTAGATGATTAACACACTTTCTCCCTCATCCTAGGGCTTTTATAGTTATGGCCGCTTAGGAGATTCCTAAGGCCTCAAGAGTGTGTCTTTAAAAAACTTTGTCAGCCTGGTGTGGTGGCTCACACCTGTAATCCCAGCACTTTGGGAGGCCGAGACGGGCGGATCATGAGGTCAGGAGATCGAGACCATCCTGGCCAACATGGTGAAACCCATCTCTACTAAAAATACAAAAAATATAGCTGGGTGTGGTGGCACACACCTGTAGTCCCAGCTACTTGGGAGACTGAAGCAGGAGAACTACTTGAACCCAGGAGGTGGAGATTGCAGTGAGCCAAGATCACACTACTGTACTACAGGATGGGTCACAGTGCAAGACTCAGTCTCAAAAAAAAAAAGAAAAAAGAAACTTCGTCCACCTTGCAGTAATAAGTTACTAGGTTTGAAATATGGAGTCATGAGGCATTTTGAAAGCCAGTAATATCTACAATTTATTGAGTATTCACTATGCATCAGCTGGGCGCAGTGGCTCATGCCTGTAGTCCCAGCACTTTGGGAGGTCAAGGCGGGCAGATCACAAGGTTAGGAGTTCAAGACCAGCCTGGCCAACATGGTGAAACCGAGTCTCTACTAAAAATACAAAAATTAGCTGGGCATGGTGATGCACGCCTGTTATCCCAGCTACTCGGGAAGCTGAGGCAGGAGAACTGCTTGAACCAGAACCCAGAAAGCGGAGGCTGCGGTGAGCTGAGATCATGCCACTGCACTCCAGACTGGGCTACAGAGCGAGACTCCGTCTCAAAAAAACAAAACCAAAAAACAAACACTATGCATCAATTCTTTATTATATTTAATACATCAACTCTATGAAGTAGGTGCTATTAAAACCCTATTTCGGGCCGGGCACGGTGGCTCAAGCCTGTAATCCCAGCACTTTGGGAGGCCGAGGCGGGTGGATCACAAGGTCGAGAGATCGAGACCATCCTGGTCAACATGGTGAAACCCCGTCTCTACTAAAAGATACAAAAAATTAGCTGGGCATGGTGGCACGTGCCTGTAATCCCAGCTACTCAGGAGGCTGAGGCAGGAGAATTGCTTGAACCCAGGAGGCGGAGGTTGCGGTGAGCCGAGATCGCGCCATTGCACTCCAGCCTGGGTAACAAGAGCGAAACTCCGTCTCAAAAAAAAAAAAAAAAAAAAAAAAAACCCTATTTCACTCTTGCAGAAATTGAGGTACAGAGATCTGCCCAAGGTTGCGAATGAGTAAGTAGCAGGATCTCTCTCTTTTTTTTTTTTTTTTTTTTTTAAAGATGGGGTTTCACCATGATGGCCAGGTTGGTTTTGAACTCCTGACCTCAGGTGATCCACCCACCTAGGCCTCCCAAAGTGCTAGGATTACAAGCGTGAGCCACCACACCTGACCAATATCTCTTCATCACATTTCATGTTCTAAATCAGTCAGCTGTAAACTTCCTAACATGACAGGTTTCCATTTAGAGATACCGAATGGTTGTCTGTCCTGCTCCCTCCTTGATGCCAACCAGCCTGATTAGCATTGATCAACGACCAAGCCAGAGGGGTGGTCCTCTCCCTTTTTCATTTCATTTCTTTCTTTTTCTGAAACAGGGTCTTGTCTGTTTTCCAGGCTATAGTGCAGTGACACAAACGGCTTACTGCAGCCACAACCTTCTAGGCTCAAGCAATCTTCCCACCTCAGCCTCTGGGTTTTCCATATCTATAGCTCTTATCTGTGACCAAAATAAAGCCTTCCCCTGCCCCTTGTCTGCACTCAACTCTTAAGTTTCCAAAATGAATTCTGCCCTGTACTCTCACATTTGGTGCACATCTTGTCTCCTAAATAGACTGTATTTTTTTGTTGTTGTTGTTGTTGTTTTTTTTTGAGACGGAGTCTCGCTCTGTCACACAGGCTAGAGTGCAGTGGTGCGATCTCGCCACTGTAACCTCTGCCTCCCAGGTAAGCAATTCTCCTGCCTCAACCTCCCGAGTAGCTGGGATTACAGGCACAGGCTGCCACACCCAGCTAATTTTTGTATTTTAGTACAAACAGGATTTCACTCTGTTGCCCAAGCTGGTCTCATACTCCTGAGCTCGGGCAATCCACCCGCCCACCCGCCTGCCTCAGCCTCCCAAAGTGCTAGGATTATAGGTGTGAGCCACTGCGCCCAGCCGTCTCCTCAATAGACTGCAAACAGCTAGAGGTCAGGGATGATTATTCAATACATATGTATTGGATACTTACTATGTGTTGGCCCCAGTGCTGGGGTTATATGTTTATATTTGAGACCTCCACATCCCTGGGTCTGAATCCTCTACTTCCCACTGCAACCATGCCCCTCCCAGTCCCAGTAAGTAAGAGAAAGGATCGGGAGGGCCAAATCCGACACCAGGGTCTATCTCAGGGAGGGAAGGGACCTGGCTGGGGGGAGGGGGGATTCTGAGGAGTGAAACCACTTCCTGTGTAGCTAGTTCCTGTGTTGACAGAAAGAGCAGAAGAGGAGGTAGGGTGGAGGGAGCAGAGCCAGGGATTAGGGGGCTACTGAGGCTCTGGAGATGAGATAGCCAGGAGTCTTCCCCACCATGAGCCCCCTCGACTCCTGCAGCTGGAAGAGTTTTTCCCAGTCTCTGTGCTCCCCTGGGGCGAGAGAGACTGAACAAGCTGTTTGGGTGGGAAAAGAGAATGGAGGAAGTTGACAGGGATGGGCGGGGCCCGTTGGGGGGCTGACCAGGAACCCAGCTTCCTGCTCAGTACCCAGGCATCCAGCCCCCAGCTCACCCCCACCCCGTCCAGCCCCCCACTCCCCTCAGGAACTCAAGGTTCCAGCCCTCCTCCCAAATCCCAGCCACCCCTCCCCCGCCAGTTTCTCCCCTCCAGGGAATGGAGGCTGAGAGACCACAGGAAGAAGAGGATGGTGAGCAGGTGAGCTGGGCGCAGGGTGGGGAAGGCTGGCACTGGGAAAGAAGGGCGGCCAGAGGTCCTGGGGCAGAGACGCAGGGGCCTTGAAAGGCTTGGGCAAACTGAGGCAGGAACAGAGACACACAGGAAACGGGCCACTGGCCTGGCCCCCCTGTCCACTCCACCTGCTTCAACCACCACTGCTTGACTGGAATGGGCATATTTTGGCATCAGGACCCCCCTCAGGATGAGCAAGGCTGGCCCCCTCCAAATTCCACCACTCGGCCTTGGCGATCTGCTCCTCCATCCCCTCCTCCTCCACGGACCCATAACACAGGTACCCCCACCTACCCAGAGAGAGCCCTGACCCTGGTGCCCACATCCTGACCCCGTTGCCAAGGTCCACTGTGTTGTGGGCCCTCTCCCCACCTCCGGACTCCCCCTGGGATTCCCCATTGCACCCCCTCTCCGCTGATCCAAGGTCCCTAATCATGTCACCCTATCCACACTCCCCCACGGCTCCTGTCTGCCAACCTCTCTGGGTCTCTGAGCCCTCCACCCGCCTCTCCCCAGCCCTGGGACCCCGCTCGGCCTCCCTGCTCTCCCTGCAGACTGAGCTCCTTCTGGACCTGGTAGCTGAAGCCCAGTCCCGCCGCCTAGAGGAGCAGAGGGCCACCTTCCACGCCCCCCAAAACCCCCCAATCCTAGCCCCTGCCCCACCCCGTCCTCTTGAGGACAGAGAACAGCTCTACAGCACCATCCTGAGTCACCAGGTAAGACATCCCCCCCAGGAGGCAAACCCAGGCCTCCTGGTCTCTTGGCCCCTGTTGTCTTTTGGGCTCTACTCCTGTTTCTCCCCAGGCACCTGCCACATCAGCTTCACAGGAAATTTCCTCTGTGCCTCCCTATACCTATGCAGGTTCCCAAGGGGTCTCCTCCCCTCAGACCCTCACCAAAGCTCTCCCTTCTCCCTCCACTCCTCCAGTGCCAGCGGATGGAAGCCCAGCGGTCAGAGCCTCCCCTCCCCCCAGGGGGGCAGGAGCTCCTGGAGTTGCTGCTGAGAGTTCAGGGTGGGGGTCGAATGGAGGAGCAAAGGTCCCAGCCCCCGACACATACCTGCTGAGACTTGAGTCCCAGCCAGCCCTTCCTCACCCCGGGCTCAAAGCTGGGCAGACCATTGCATGCCCTCAACTCTTACGTGGCAGGGGTACCAGAGACTGAAAGACCCAGCACAAATCTCAATATTCATCGCCCACATTACCTTCCCTGGGAACTGGACTGGGTGAAAGTCCTCAAACTCTGGGAACAGGCAAGGTGGAATGGTGATTTTAACTCCCTCCCCAAGTCCTTGGGAGCTTGAGGCAGGAAGGGGGATCCCAGGCACCCATCTCAAGGAGTGGCTGGGAGTCTTCCCTGACTTGTGGGGACACCACCTATTTGTCAAGCTACTAGGCAGGGTCTGAGGGCTCAGGCCTCCACCTGCGAGGTTATAACCTGAGAGACAGCTCCCCCCTCCCCCCTAGTAAGAATGGAAGGTAGATGGGCACCTGAGAGATGAAGCCTTTTACGACTATTCTCCCAGTCCCACCACCAGCAGCCCCCATCCCTGAGACTGAGGGGTTTACAGGCTGTGAATGGACCTTTAGCCCTGCCCACCCTCCCTCCCCACTGCTGCTCTGAGTCTGTCTGATGTTTTGATTGCGTGAATAAATGTAATTCCCCTCTGGACTGAAGACTGGTGTCTGGGGGGCCCGGGCGGGGTGAAGGGTAGAAAGGTGAGGCCAGAGGCCGCTTCTCTCCCCAGTCTGGCCAGAGGCCAGCTCCCCTCCCTGGCTGGTTAATTACTGGCTCATTAAGCAGCGGCTGGAGACCTCCCTAATTATCTCCCCCAGCCCCCCTCTCCTGGTTTTAATTAAGTAGAACAGGGAGGGGAATCATTAGAACAAGAAATCTGAACTGAGCTGTCCGTGAACCCAGGCATTCCAGCGGCCTGAGTCGACATCACCTAGATCCCTGATTCAGAACCCAGGTGGCAGACCCCACCCCAGCCGCCACCACGCCCCCACTCCCAGGCGGCGAAGTCCAGCCAGGGGGCCTTCCCATATTTTTCACATGGCCCGTCCCCTCCCCTCGTCCCCTCTTCTCTCTCCCCTCCTCCACTCGGTCTCAGTTCCTCTGTTTCTGTGTCTCTCTCTCCGCCCCCAGCTCCTCCCTGTTCCTCCTCTCTTCTCCCCTCCTCTTCCTCCCCGGCTCCCCTCCCCCAGCCTCCCTCCCTCGCTCCCCCCCCTTCTCCCTCCTCCCTCCTCCCTCTCTCTCACACACACCCCCGCTTGGGCCTCCTCTCTCTCTCCGGCTCCATTTTCTCCGCCGCCGGGGGCCGGGGTCTCCTGTGGGGGGCCCAGCCGGTACCCCAGGTCTCCCTTCAGTGCCGGGGTGAACCCCCGGGGGAGCCGGGAGCCGGGGGCAGACGGGCGGGGGTTGGGGCGGAGGGAGCAGCGGCCCCAGCGAGTTTGGGGGGGAGTAACCAGGCGGGGGTTGGGACAGAGCAGGGAGGGGGCCTCAAGGCCCCCCCCCAGCTATGGACGAGAGGCTACTGGGGCCACCCCCTCCAGGCGGGGGCCGGGGGGGCCTGGGATTGGTGGGTGGGGAGCCTGGGGGCCCTGGCGAGCCTCCCGGTGGCGGAGACCCCGGTGGGGGTAGCGGGGGGGTCCCGGGAGGCCGAGGGAAGCAAGACATCGGGGACATTCTGCAGCAGATAATGACCATCACCGACCAGAGCCTGGACGAGGCCCAGGCCAAGTGAGTGCCCCCACCCCGGGACCCCACACAGACCCAGCAAACCCCGTTCACATGCTCTGAATCTTCTGGGAACCCCCCAACTCCAGGGCCCTCTTCAGGATCCAGCAGCTCTCTTCTCTCTTTACTCCTGGGAGCCCCTAGAAAAGTGATCCCTCTCAAACCTCCCTTCACCCCCAGGCCCTGAAACCTTCACAGAGGGAACCCCAGGTGGCCCCGCTCCCCCTCCTAACCTTTTGCTGACCCCCACACTCCCCTGGAACAGCCCCATCTCCGGAGGCCCCTCTGGCTCCCAGACTAAGAAACTGTTCTTGGGCTCTGTTATCTTCTCCCCTAACTCTCCACCCAGCCCCCTCATTCTCTCCAGATGTAGAGTCCTCCACGCCCCTCTCCAGAGCCCCTAAAGCTCCTCTCTACCGCTCAACCAGACACTCGGTGCATCAAAGCCCCCCACCTGCTCACCCCCAGGACCCCTGCACACACAGGATCTCCCCAGCCAGCTCGGCAGCCCCAGCCCCGCTCTGCCACCTCAGACTCTTGACTCTTCTCAACCCCAGCCTCTGTCTCTCTACCTCTGAAACCTACCAGGTCACCTTCCTTTCCCCATATTCACTCCCACAAATTTCCGCATACCTTTCTAACCATCTTTAAAGCCCCCAGCCTACCAAGTGGTACCTTTAGCCTGCTGCTGCATCTTCCCTGTGCTTCCCTGAAGCCGAGCAGCTTCCCCTGCTCTGGGAGCTGATCTTTTCCCAAGAACTCCCCTCCCCAAAGCCATTCCACCCCCAATCCGCTTCCTCCACAGATTGACCCTCCTCCCTGCTTGTTCTCAGGCCCCCTGCTCTGTTTCTCTGGCTCCTCAACTTTTCTCTTTCCCCACTCCCACTCCTCCCAAGGAAACACGCCCTAAACTGCCACCGAATGAAGCCTGCTCTCTTTAGCGTCCTGTGTGAAATCAAGGAGAAAACCGGTATGTGGGTCCCCCCAATTGCTCAACTCTGGGGACAGAACTCTGTTCGCTATAGGACTAGAGTGTGACAACTTGGGGCCCTGAGGAAAGTGAAGAGTCAGGGGGACTGGGAAGGAGCCAAAGCCTGGGAACTTGGCTCTCCAGGAGGACTAAGCACTGGGTGTGGGGTCCCTGGGTCCCTAAGTCCACTGCCTGCGTGCTAGGCCTCAGCATTCGAAGCTCCCAGGAGGAGGAGCCGGTGGACCCACAGCTGATGCGCTTGGACAACATGCTTCTGGCAGAGGGTGTGGCTGGGCCCGAGAAAGGGGGTGGCTCAGCAGCAGCTGCTGCAGCCGCTGCAGCCTCTGGGGGTGGCGTGTCCCCTGACAACTCCATCGAACACTCGGACTATCGCAGCAAACTTGCCCAGATCCGTCACATATACCACTCGGAGCTGGAGAAGTATGAGCAGGTGAGGAGAGCAGGCTAGGGTGGGTGGAGGGAAGGGCTCTTGCAGGGGAATCCCATGCCCAAGGGGCACCTCCTCACCAGCCCACGGGCCCCCACTACAGGCATGTAATGAGTTCACGACCCATGTCATGAACCTGCTGAGGGAGCAGAGCCGCACCAGGCCTGTGGCCCCTAAAGAGATGGAACGCATGGTGAGCATCATCCATCGAAAGTTCAGCGCCATCCAGATGCAGCTCAAGCAGAGCACCTGCGAGGCTGTCATGATCCTGCGTTCCCGTTTCCTGGATGCCAGGTGAGCGCAGGGACCCAGGCTGGCCCCAGCACTGGTCTCCTTCCCATTCCTCTCCAAGACCCTGAGCTGCCGTGTTGCACAACATGGTACGCCATGACAATGGGGACTCGGGGATCATGCCATGCAGCAGCACTGCCAGGACGCCAACGTCCTCCTCACAGCTCTTCTCCCTCCTCTGTAGACGAAAGCGCCGTAACTTCAGCAAACAGGCCACTGAAGTCCTAAATGAGTATTTCTACTCACACCTGAGTAACCCATATCCCAGTGAGGAGGCCAAGGAGGAGCTGGCCAAGAAGTGTGGCATCACTGTCTCTCAGGTATTATGGGGGCTTGGGGAGGAGTTTTCAGGCAAAATGCACTCATCTCAGCCAGGTGCAGTGGTGTGTTCCTGGAATTGCAGCTAGTAGGGAGGCTGAAGTGAGAGGATCACCTGAGTTGGAGACCAGCCTGGGCAACAACATAGTGAGACCAGGAAGGAAAAAAAAAAACGCTCTCACTCACATCTTACTCGGTGAAGGATTTCAGAGGCAAAGGTTTCTACCTGAGCCTCCTTTCTGCCCCACAGGTCTCCAACTGGTTTGGCAACAAGAGGATTCGATATAAGAAAAACATCGGAAAGTTCCAAGAGGAAGCAAACATCTATGCTGTCAAGACCGCCGTGTCGGTTACTCAGGGGGGCCACAGCCGTACCAGCTCCCCAACACCCCCTTCCTCTGCAGGTGGATCCCACTGCTACCCCTGGCTGACTGTTGCGCACATTTCCTGTGTTTGTTCCCACTTCCTGTCTAGGCAAGATGATAGCAGAGAGGGGGCCTTTTGGGTGAGAGGGACCAAGCTGAGACAGGCTGGAGATGTCAGGGGGCAGAGGCCACTCTGTGAAGAATAGTTCTGCTTTTCTTCCCACGGGTGGCCAAGGAACAGCCTGCTCTTTCTGCGTGTTGGAATGTTGCTTTGTGGCTAACTGGTCCCCACAGAGCTAGTATGAGGGCTTTCTGGTCACTGAGAGTTGTGGGTCATCCCCTTTCTACCGTCACCGGCTCTATTACACTCTTCCGTCTTTGTTCCCCCAAGGCTCTGGCGGCTCTTTCAATCTCTCAGGATCTGGAGACATGTTTCTGGGGATGCCTGGGCTCAACGGAGATTCCTATTCTGCTTCCCAGGTCAGACGCCCGTGTCCCCTTGAGTAGGGCTTTCCCCAGTTCCATTTTCCCTACTTTGGGATCCAAGACCTCTATCCTCTGAGGCGTCTCTTCACTGTCCTACCTCTCTCTGCTCCCTGCAGGTGGAATCACTCCGACACTCAATGGGGCCAGGGGGCTATGGGGATAACCTTGGGGGAGGCCAGATGTACAGCCCTCGGGAAATGAGGGTGAGTGAATCCTGAAGCCCCTCTCTGTCCAGTTCTCGAAGGACATTCGAGGGGCATTTTCCCTAGTAGTCTGCCCACACAGGGTTCCCCAAGGCCTTGTCTGTTTTCTACACTCTTGTCTCTCCCTTCTTCCAGGCAAATGGCAGCTGGCAGGAGGCTGTGACCCCCTCTTCAGTGACATCTGCAACAGAGGGACCAGGGAGTGTTCACTCTGACACCTCCAACTGATCTTGATCTTGCCCCTCAGGGTCACAGGGGTGGGGGCTCTCACAAGGCGACTCTTGAAGAGGACGCAGGCATCCGGAGGACAAACCCCAAATACAGAACAAGCACAAGACAGAGGAGGGCCAGTGGGGTCATCCCCTCCCTAATTAGATTCTGTGCTGGGGGCGCTAATTACATGGCAGGAAGAATGGGACCCCCTAAGGGGAGTGTGGGGTCTGTCTCCCCCTTTTTTCCATCTTTTACCTCTCCCCCTTTCTTTATTACACAGAAACACACACACACCCAGAAATCTATTTCTCAGACCCCTTTTTCTCCTCTTTCCCTCTGTCTTCCTCCCCCACACCTTAGCCACCCACATACTCCCACTTCTGTTTCTCTCTGGGCTCCCCCACTTTCCCTTCCCCACCGCACTTATATGCTCTGGAATCCGTGGAGACGCCAGCCCTGCCCAACCAGAGATGCCAAAAATGGGGACATGACTTCTGGACAGAGGACATGGGCCACGCCCCCGTGTATCCCCACCCCCACCCCTCCAGACGGCTTACTTACCTCATACGCAGCTCATCTTAAACCAATAGAATCGCTCGGTGGACAAGAGTGTCTGACTCAGATATCTACCTCGGAGG